CAGCCAGTCCATTGGGTTGTCCTTTGCCAACAGCCTTCTTCCTCAAACAGGATACTATGATCAAATTAAGTAAATCTTTGATCTTTCAACTCCCTTTTTTGATGCTTTAAAAATTACTTGAACGGAAAGAAAACAGTGCATCATATGGTACTAGCACCACATGTCTTTACTGTGGTTTTTGAAAGAACATTTCTCATAGTTTCATGAAACCAATGCATTCTATTTTACACTTCCCCATTCGATGCATTTTGCATATGAACCTTCTTATCCATAGTTCTCTTTTAAAATGTCTTAAATATATGACCCCTAGTAAATGAAATGCCACAAACAGCTCTTGCATGTCATGTCATTCTTACTCAAAGGATGAATAACTATGATATCATTATTGATAAGAATGCATTCGTCCAGTTAGTTACAGTAATAGTGAGTAGGATAGCCAGTGTCAAAAACTATATTCACAAAAATCTGCACAGTCTCTCCCTACAGTACTGTCCTGCAATATAAGTAACATGGACTTCTTAGGAAAAAAAAGCCAAAACCAAAAACAAACCCCAGCAGGAACCTTCAAAGCAACCAAAAAATGTACCAATGACAAAAAGGCACAGGCCTCCAGGAGAGCAGGCCTTTACTGTACTGTTGGAGCATATGCACACACAGTAAATTATATAATTTAAAGTTCTAAAATGGTTTAAATTTCCTTTTCAAAAATGCCAATATGACATATTTTACTTTTTTTTTAACCTGAAAAATAATTAAAATTTAGAGTGAAAAAATCCCCTTACAGAAAATCAAATTATTTTTTTCTCATAAAAATAATGTCGCAGGAAAAGCCAACTAAAACATCTACATTTTTAAGTCCTTTGTTTGGTGAAAAGATACAGCCATTGTATTAACGTTGAGAATAGGCTTAGGTACTTAGCTGAACAGGAATGGAAGTAAGTATGTGTTTTAAATTAAACACATGCATAAATGCTCTCTTGAACCAGAGCAAAGCAGCACTTAGCATTAGAGAAAGCAATTTTCTGCAGCGAAAGTTAAATGCAATCTTTAAATTGTAATGGCTCTGATTGACCCTTTTCTCATTATTATTGTTCTTCATTGTCTCAGTTCATATCAAGTTAATGGAAAAATACTTGATGCCCTTAGAAATATCTTCTATTTCTTTTCAAACAACATTATTATTATTTTATAAATAGTTGAATGTGTATTATGTTTCCTGAGTCATATGTATCATAAATCAAACCCAGAACCGCATTTCTTTGTCCAAACAACATGTAGAAATTTGTAATTCCACTCCTAGCCCTCCATATGTGTTTTTGCATAATTTTTTACCCTACTGTCTGAAAAGTACCCGTAAAACAAATCTCAATGCGGGATTGCTATGTTGGATAATCTATGATGAAACTGTCAGTTTTCTGGGATTTCTCAAGGGATTCCAATGTCCCAAACAGCAAGAAGAGTTAGAATTATGGTATTAGCCTTCAAAGCTGATTATTAATGTGTAACGCTTATTTCTTTTAAACTGGCATTCTGTGGAAGCTGACACATCTAACACCTCATCTTCATTTACTTGCCTCACTGATCGGAATAACTTACTGCAACCATGGAATATTTGGTATGCTGTCCTAAAAGTTGAAGGTGGAAAATCTCTATTGGAGGAGTCATTGCTTACATCTTCAGTGACTTTTCAGACAGTTACAGGCATCTGCAAACATTTATGAGATATGCATTTTGCTTTATATCAAAACTAGTGAGATCCACTTAAAAACTTCCTCAAGTTGCACAGAAACACAAGTTTTTTACTAACTTTAGTGTTAGCAGTAGATTATATATTTAAGATACAACCCTTATTCATAAATTACAGCTTTAAAAATGCAGATAATGAAATAATTTTATTCGTATTTCTTAATAATCTGTGGTTATATAGTTAACTGGTTTAAACTCATTTATGACACAAATATTAAAAGAGATGGGTTTACTTGGCCAAGTCTCACCCGCCTGAGTATCAGTGGCATTTTACCAGGAGAAGACTTGCTTATGAAGTGTGGTTTATGATGACCTGGTGGGATCATGTCTTGTCCTACAGCACAAAAAAAACCCAGTTTTTATTCCCTATATAGGATGAAATATGAGCCATACACTGTAAACCATGAAGTATGGACAATGCAACTTCTTCAATTTGTTTTGAAATATTTTTCTACCATACCTGATCACTTTATCTGAGTATGTTTCTTTCTGTGATTTCTTTTACAGTTGTTACTTTTTCCTTTCATAGACAAGTTCATTTTTGTTCAACTGTGGGAAGAAGTGAACAGAAAGCATTAAGACTAGAAAAATCTATCAATTTTTAACTCTGAGTTTCTCCTCTTACTTCTACATCTTTCTCTCTAAAAACTGGGTTTTTTGCTGTATTGATCTGATTCATCGTTTAGCTGAGATCCCAGAAGAGAAACTTTTCCATGAGTTATTTTATTTTCAGCACCTGATTAAAGAATATATAATACCAGACAGTCAGATTGTTTATAGAAACATTTCCTTTACTTCATCTTTCATGACAATTATGACTCCCTGGTCTTTTGCGTGGTTCCAGGAGGTTTTTCTTTCTCTTCTTGAGTTCATCTTACTCCTTTTTTTTTTTTTCTACTTTTGACCCAAAATGTTATGGGATTTAGTTAAGAAAAATACCTGGTATGGGATGTTTTAAAAGTATGGAATGGGGCTGAGCTTTCCACTCATAGAGAAATATTTCTTCATTGTTTGACATTTATCCAACAGCAGAGGGAAATAGTTACTACTGATGTGTAATTGAAGCTGATACAGCAGAAAATAATATTCCTGCACCACCAGTCTCTACCCAGGATGATTATTTTCTGCTGCATCAGCTTTAACATCAGGCACTAACATGCCTGTCATGGTTAGGCCAACAAAGGAGTTTCTGAAGAGGTGAGATTCCAAATGCCTTGTTTTAGGACTGTTACTTAAATTTTATATGGTTTTTGCTTGCTATTTTTATTTTGGTGTGGTTTTTTTTCACTTCGAGTAGACATGAAACAGATACCTAATTTTTTCAGAACTGAATTCTGACTTACGTCCCATTTCTATAGAAACTCTCAAACTAATGGGAATCTTACTTTCTGATTAATAGTCGCACCAAAATGGCATATTTGATTTAGACAGGTGGGAATGGTAGATAGTTACATCAGCTTGCCTGATCTGGGGATTAAGGAATGAATAATACTTTGAAGGGAAGGAGCTTGTGACAAATTAAAGAGTAACTGTTTTAAATGAAACACACAGAAATATTCAATTATTCATCAATGAGTGGGAACTAACAGATCTACAACTTTCCCATTTTCCTTATATCTTTTTCTTTCTGTCCTTATTAAAAAAATACTTTTTATTGTTAGTATCTTACCAGTTTTCCATCCCATGGGGAGTCGGTATCTCTTCTGCTTCTTTGCTTCTTGGATTTTTATGTTTGAGTTTTTTGATTTTTTTTTCAGGAGAGCATAACTGTCATTAGTGGAGCTAACTGAAGCTAACATTAGTTTTGCTTTGGGGGCAATTGCACTTGCTTGGGAAGAAAGAGATTTGTAGGTAATAGAGTGGGATGGGTGTTCATAAGTGAGTGATTTGAAGGAGTGTGGGAAATACAGCATTGCAGAGAGAAGACCATAATTGGGTTTCTGTATCTGTCAAAAGCAAAACTTTCTAGAGCGGCATATGCTACAAAATTACATTAGTGTAACCAAGATTAGAAAAAAGAACTTGCTACAATAATGTATTATTTTGTCCAGTCTAGATATATTGAGCTTTTTTCTATGCAAATACTGAGTTATTCTAAGAAATACCTGAGAAGACATGTTTGATAAAAACTGATTTTTATCTTTAGAAAGTCTCTTGGACCTCTTCAGAATGTTTGCTGTAAGGGAGAGATGCAGCTAGATCCTCCTCAAAATTCTGGGGGATTTGGGGTCCTGTCATATGTAATTTTATGCCTCACAAAACATTTATCTTACTATATTAGCAATGTGAATCTGAGATCTGTTTTCTGAACAGGTAGGTAGCATTTATCCAATATGCTGATATAGTTTGCATTTCAGTAGACTTTTGAGTAAAACTGTTACACAGAGCTTGAACTACTAGACTACCCGAATGTTTACTAGTCTTACACTTGAAGGCTGGGTGGTATATTTTTTATATATATTTTCATAGCTTTCTCTCTATTTGCCATTATTCTCCCCAATCCTCGTGTTTTGTGATGTGTGTTTTTCTTAATATATAAATTAAAAAAATATTGTGCTCTCACTTTATATTTTATTCAGACATTAATGGGCTTTTTTGAGAAAGCTGAGACAAATGTAGCATTGCAAATCAAAATTTGAATTGTAAATTCTTTCTCAGCCTTTAAAGTCTTATACAGACAAATTACACTAAGTTGCCAATATAAATTTTAAACTGATATTCTCTTAAATCCACTACAGAAATCATATCTACTCTGAAAACCATAACTGGAGATTCATTCCTAAACATACTTTTATGAAAAATATATATAAACATCTAAAAGCTACCAAGAGAAGATAACACAGCATGATATATTTATCAACTACTAGAAAAAAAAAATGTTTAAAGAGGGAAAACACATTCCATGGCTAGATATCTATTTAATGTTTAGATAATTTGAAGAAAAGATAGAGGAATCTTCACTCCCTACTCTCACAGAAATGGAATTGCACTCCCACAGAAATGCAATTTTAATGCGTATTTTACTGATTCTTTCTGGCAGTGCACACACAAAGGTGATTTGTAGAAAATCCGAGAATTTTTACTAGTACATCAGTGAGCAACCGTAATTGTGTTTTCTGCTTAATGAAGTCAAGCCATTACAAAAGTATAATAAAGTTAAAGCTTGTTTCTAAGGACCTTTTTCTTTGCCTGTAGGGTTTACACTGTTTTCTGTGCTTTTTCTTTCTTTTTTTCTTTTTTCTTTTTTTTTCAAGGATCATCTGTTTCAACTGGAATCGCACAAATTTGAGAGAGGACGAGGGAGGTGCCCTTTTGACCCCAGTTCTTCCTTCACCTCCATCTTAATTGGTAATGATCTTTATGTCGCATTCTTCATGGTCCTGTCAATCTGTCATTCTGAGTCTCTTCCTCCAGGACACCAAAGTGTTGTCAGTCGTCCACTGCAACCTTACATGTGTAAGACTTAATCCTCATGGTGCTGCCCACATTAATATTACATCCTAGGCAGCATTAACTCCAGCACAGGCATCTCATTGGAGTGAGTAGATGTTATATGACACGTGCCACCCTGAAGAGGTAATTGTTTGTTGAATAATTTTGGAAACAGTTATTTCCTGCTTTCCTTCAAAGCAAAGCAGTATGTCTAGCTTAGTCTTTTACATCACTGAGACAAATTCACAAAGTTTACATACTGAGATATAATCCGAGTAACAAACATTTTGTAAAAATGTGAATTTAACTGGTTTTATATAAAACATTTATTGTTTATCAATTACAGCTTTTGAATTAAAAAAAGATTTTTTTCCAATGCTGCCTTCTAACAGAACTATCCAAAACTGGTGATTCTCTGATAGGAAAGTTGGTCTTATACTCAGCACTTATAAAAATAGAATTCAGTCTAAATCCTGCAGAGTCAAAAAGCTGTGCTGAGATAGTGCTCCTCTGTGCCTTGCTGTTAAGTATATTACTGTAGGGCTGGGACCTTTGAAGTTGTAGTACAGCAAACCATATGTTTTTTTCCTCTATAATGTTTTCCTGGAAACATTTTGTGAGATCAAGCAAACACAATCTTGGCAATATTATAGTACATTGACTAAAAATAGACTGGAACAGCAGGTAAAGGGTGAAAGCTAGATGCACTGAAGGATTAACACAGTGATTTCTAATTTTAGAAAACATAAGATAAAAACTGAGCATTCAAAAGGAATATTCATAAAAGAAAGAAATAGAAAAAAGAGCCTAAGTATCAAATATGTTTTTGACTTTTCAGGGGTAAAAAAGCCAGAAGATATTAGGGTCTTTTGATATTTACATATGACTTCATATCTTAAAATCAGACAGCTAAATTCTCTATTTATTAACTACAGTGATACAGCTCGCCCATGGTAGTGAGGAAGTATTGGTCATGAGTGACAGATGTATTTTTACATGCTAAGTTTATTTGTTTCTTTACATTAACAAACTGCTTACAAGAAGAATCATCATCATTAATGTCAAATCTTTCAAACTGCAGGAATTCATTAAAATACTGTTAATTCCCATTTAAAAAAAATGCAGCTCACATTCTTAAGAGTTAGTAGGTTAAGAAGTCATAAAAGAATCAGAAAAAACCTGACCTTCCAAAATCCATGAAGCACAGATTGTTACGCTTTTCTTCCACCCTTATTTCTAAATTATTTCTACAGTTTTTAACAGATTCCAGTCTTACCTCAGCCTGAGAACAAAGAATCATCCCATGGAATTTGCTGTAGGCCTGAAACCTCATGGTCTAATCTTGAAGTCCTCAACCTTTCCTCAGACAGAACTAGCTAAATAAATTAACCTGATCATGATCCTACTGTGAGATCGATGTGAATTTTATTTGCTTAAATAGAAACCAGATTGTCCTACTGAGCACATCAAAACTAATGGTTAGGTCTTGTGTTTCTGGCCTATTCATTAATTTGCCTAGATTATGGGAGATCCTATAGATCCTCACAGTTTTATCCAAAAGAGAAAACCATTAAATAAGCCATTCCCTGATATATGTAGAGTTGAGACTTGGGCATCCACTGACAAAGAATTGCAAAATCAATCTCACAAAGCTGCCAATTCCGTAATGTGGCAAGATTAACAGTAGAAAATATTATCTTTTTATCAAATCACTGATACAACACCAAAAACCAGGCAAACTTTCACTCGTACTATCAAATCTAAAATTACCTGAGAAAGATAAAGGCTATTTTTCTAGGCCTCAATTGGGATTTCTATAATTTCAAGAGATAATAGAATGAGATTTTTAAGAGCATAACAAGATTCTTCAAATAGTTTATTATTTTAGTTATGCTTTTATACTTTTTATACTATTGGGATTGAACACTTCCAATACAAGTTTGTGTTTCCAGGTATTCTACTATATTCTACTAACTTCTGTTAACCAGAGACAGACAGCTTACAGAACAATTAGAATTAATGCTGCTTCTTAAACTTCAGAATGTATATTCTTTATCTGTGTAGATATCCATTTGAAAATGGTAGAAGACATAGATGCAAATATGATGAATATTAAAGAATCTTTTAATTGACATTTGAAAATGAAACTGAGACCTCTAACGCTAAGTGCACTCTGAAGGAAGGGATGCTCCTTCATTCAGCTGAGCCCTGATTCCAGCTCATGATGGCCATGACCCAATGACGGGAGATGACAACTACATCATGCATCCTCCAGGATTAGTCTTGCAGTCTTTCCTCCAATGCTTGGACGTTCCCTTCTTCTTCATTTACTCCAATTTTCTTACAAAGTGAAATCCACTCATGGTATGGAGTCAGCATGCCCTTGGAGGCTGCACTCTAGAATTGCCTCCACTCTCCCATGTACATTCAACCAACATGCATGCCCTTGTAAAGGTTTTATGTTAGCAAAGACTTTCACATTCCAGCATCCTCTTCTTTCTAACAAAACAATTCAAAAACTGCTTCCACCTCTGCATCTCATATTAACACACCGTGGCTATTGACTAACAGTGAGGATTAGACTAGCAAGGAAGCTTTACACACCTCTGATATTAGTTTAAAAGCTTTTAAATTCTTGGTCTCAAAAGATCACTTACACTATCACTAATTAGAATCAGATTTAGGTGGTTTAATTTAGGAAGAAAGAGAATCTCTTGTTCTGTATTTTTACATGTATTTCAACACGTGAGTTAAAATAGCCACTTCAAGAAAACAATAGTTCGTGACTTGGCTTTAAAACTAAATATCCATACTCTTGTAAGCTTTATTACAGGTTATCTTACCCAGTGGAAAAGTAACTTGTGACGAATTCCTCAATTTATGAACAATTAACTTTTAGTGATTTATTGTCAGCAGTAGGAAACGGAATACATGTTGGATGGCAGATAGGCTGAATAAAATGTATGTTTAGATAAATGGCATATGAAACTTTTGAACTTCTATTTCTAATGAACTCTTTCATCTGCTTTCAATAGCCAAAACTAATTTTGATATCAGATCATGCACACTGATTAAGTTAGACCACACTAGCTCTTGAAAGCTGAGAAATCAGTTTATGTCTGTTTTGTTACCTGCAATATTTCATGAACAAGTATTGAAAAACCTAAACTACATTCTATCCAGGGAAGCAATTCAGATAATATTTTCTGATTTTACAGTTTTAAAACACTTTCATGTATTTGTGTCTTTTCTTTTACTCTAGACAATGAACTAAAATAAATACATATTCTCTTTAAAGAGAATACAGAATACTTCAGTTAGAGACAGAAAAATACATTTATATTCATATACAGTGGAAGTTTACCAGTTAAGCAATAACTAATTTCTTTTGAATTTTGTTTTTTCCTACTGTGAAAAGTACCGCTTCCTGAAAATGTGAATTGTTATTCAGATTTTAGTTGTCATGTGAGTAATAACTGGCTGACAGTCAAAGAAATAAATGAAAGGTGCTGCTTGTGTTCTACTCATTATTTTCTACTCCTTTATTCATGACAGAGCTAAGTCCACTATGTAGAGCAATATAATGGGGATTTTATGTAAAAAGGACTACTGATGAATAACAGCTTATGTTTGCATTACCTTCACATTTGAAACAGGTACACAAAACATGCCAGCAACAAATGAAGGAAACCCACTTCTAAGGTGGAAGCAGCCTATTTCTAGAAATCCCTTGTATATATTAAATTTTTTGCTTCAGTCTGTTCTAGTTTACAGATTGTCATCTAGAAATTCTTGATTTTAGAAGAGAAAGTTTGTGTTTGTTTTTATTAATATTTTTCTCTGAGAAAAGGGCAAAGAAACCCCATATCTTTTAAGTGGTCCCAATTGAACTTTGATGTATTTGTTTGCTTGAAAATAATGCTAGCTAAAAAGTATGGATGTATAACTTGAGCTAAAACAGTTTTTTGAGATCCATGGGATTTTTTTTGTTGTTTAAATAAGGAAAGTAGAAAGTTTCTGTTCTTGTTTTAGCAGGATTAACCAGGCTTTGTTAAAACTTAAAAGTTATAATTAATTTGTCAAATACACGTGAAGCCGAGTTTAGACTGGAAGAAGGGAGGAATGCTGAAGGTCTGTGAAATTGCTCAATTGATTTTCACTGGGAGATACTGGCTTATCAGTGTGATGTGCAACAGTGTAAAACTCCACAACCAAGACAGGAGTGAGCTGATGTGTAGTAGAAGCTATTCAATGGAGAAGAAAAGAGTAGAAGATTTTTCAAGCCTCATTCTCAGATTATTTCTAAATCTAAAATTAGTCAGCATCCATAAAAAACCAGAAGGGTTCAAAATTTGCAATGTGGAAAAATTAAAGGATGTGCAAAAGACTCTTGAAGAATCTTGAAGATCCTCTTAATGTAAAAAGTAGAGAAGATCTCAGAATTATGTTGCCTTTCTTGTGTTGAGATCCTAGCCAGTTACACCTGTGAGTATTGTCTCATCACTTTCCTTAGGTAAGGTGACGTTCCTGCTCTCACTTGATACGTGTTTTATGTTTAGTTTAGTAACACTTCAGAGTAAAAATCAGATTTAATTTCTGTATCTGTATGATATTTTTCATGGAACAATGTCCACTCAAGACTGGAACTTTCATTTTCAACCCCCAGGATTGATTGGAACATTATTCAGACACTGGCAAATTCTGTTGCTTAAGCAGCTCTGTTTTGTTTAAAAATAAAGCTCTCTATTGCTTTTGGGTAACCTTAACTTCTACTGTTACTATAATTTTCACTTTTCATTTCACTTGCCAGTATTTTACACTAACTCATGACAATGTATTTTACAAGGCAGTATCAATTCTTTATATGGTGAAAACCAAGGCAAAACTACATTCAGCTCTGAATCAGTAGAGGTTTCTGAACCAACCCCAGCTGTCAAACTATAAACTTTTCTAAATCATTATTCAGTCTTATGGTACCATGCAATTCATATATCTCTCTTAAAAGAGAAAAAATTCACACTCTGATGGAGACCAACAAGCAAAATTCTTGCTTTTACTATAATTCTTTGTAAATGCCAGCAAATGTTAGCTAAATGGATCAGTCATGTTTATTTTGATTAGGAGGCAGGAAGCTGTGTCACTGAAAACTCCACTCAGATTAACCACGAACTGGAAATCATTTATTTCCCTGTTCTTGTACAGTTCAATTCC